CTTCATTGAAGAGCCATCAAGAGTTTCAAATTGTGGTGAAACAGCACAATAAGGCCAACGAAAGACTACCTACCCCCTCCCCCTTTCAATATTCTGTCATTAAATAGTAAGGAGGAAACGTATATATCGGTAGAAGATAAAAGACTTGATATCGGACTTTTGTTGAGGAAAAACACACCATAGCTGTACATTCTTAGCCACATTAAAGTTCGTCTGAACTGTTGGCAATAGGTTATTTCATGCTCACAACGTAAACTAAATCCAGGTTTCAGGAATAAACACTTCTACCTCTGAAATCACTGAATTAAAATGTTGATATCAATACTGGTCTCTTCCTATCTATCTGCATCTATATAGTACATGTCACAGGTACATCATCAGACGAGTGATTTTCTCCAAAAACAGAAAAAAAACTGCAAATCACATAATAATCAACAAAACTATGGGAGCAGTTAGATGAGAATACTAAAAGAGTGAGTATACGCTCACTGGTCACTTGAGCATGACTCATGTCTTGTATCTAGACGCTTAATGTGCTGGTGCTGTCTAGCTTCTTTCAGTTGAGTTTGCAATCCGATTAACCAACTAGTTAATTAACCATCGTCGTACACTTTCGAATAATAAAAGAGAGAGCTGGAGACAAATGGAGAAGAGCTCTAAACCTCCACCACACAGGAGTTGACGCTAAAATCATTGTCGCCACATTTTCACAGACTTGGTATGCGCGTCATGAGAATAGCATTTCCAACAAGCTCCTGATGGTTTTCATCAGCAGCTGCCTCCATTCTAAAGATCAGAATGTACTATTTCCAACGATTATGCCTAAGAAAATGAGGTGACAGATCACAGAAGCCGTTGTCTAGCGAAATCCTAATGGGAAATGACGAGTCGATGACATAAATCCGAGCAGTAAATTGTGTTGTGTGAACCAAATAGAAGCTTATGGTCGGTGTGGTTCCAGGCAGCTAAAAAAACAGACTATGGGGAACAGGATAAAATGGAGAGGTACCAAAGGAATGACAATAACAAAAAGTCTGACAACTACAGAAATTGTATTTTCTAGGATGATGGTTAAAACCAATCAATTTCCTGAATAACTTTCTGTTTAGAAACTTTTGAATACACGAATAAGAAGAAGAATTTGACTAAGTAACTAACGATAACACAAATATTTTGAACACCACACACACACACAGAAATGCGCGCGCATTTATACGAATAAAATCAAACTATTTGTCAAATAAATCTTTTCTCTCTCCTTTCATTTGTGACATTTATGTTTCACATATTTGTAATGTAAATAAAGAACTGTAGAAAATATTTCATATTAACATCTATTCATCCAAATAAACAGGCAAAAATAAGTACGACATTGAATATTGGGCTAGTTCAAATATGTGGGTATGTGTGTACGTGTGACCTTGTCAGTGGAAGACTTTCTTATTTTGTTCAAAATATCAAGACTATTTTGTTCTAAATTATCAGAAGAAACAAAAATGAATGAATGCCATCTTCATTTTTACGATATAAAAACAAAAATTGGATTTATTAATATTATTATCCCCTTAGGTTCCGAACAGAACATTGGACTACAACAGCAGATACTGATTTCATCCTTTTCTGTTCACTTCTTTTTAACAGGCTACATTATTGCACAGAATGTTTTCATTTCCTTCTCACTACATGTCTTCTTCCATGTGATCCACTCCAAGCTCGTCGTTTTCCAAGCGAGTTCTAATCGAGCGATGGTCTGATTGGTGCATTACGTTACTAAATGGTCTCTTCAGCGTGTGTCCTGTCCATCTATCTCCATTTTCTTTGGGATATATGTTTGGCAACAGATTCTTGGTTGGTTCGTACTTAAAGTTCCTTGTCGTCATTTTCTTCTGGTTAGCCATCTGATCATCAGTGTCACATGGAATTCAGAAGACAATAGACAAAGTCTGAGCAAAGAAGAACATTCTGTTCAGATAAATTTTTCTTCATCTGGCCACGACAGTTATGTATTTATATATACATGCATATAATATTCAAAGAGTAATTGTTGCTGACACCTGTATTAATGTGCCTTTTTCCCTAAGTAATATCGTCTCGTTAATATGCATAAAAATATCTAATACTAAATTGAATATATATGAGATAAAATTAAGAAGAAAATTCCAAGTGGCAATTAAAGGTAGTTAAAACAATGATGACCAAGATAGGGAAAGCGGCCTGACAAATGTTTTCTGAACACACACACACACACACAGGTTTGGCTCCTTCAGATGGATTCCGATGGTTTCATGTAGTTGTATGTAAAAAACAAACTCGTAAGGCGAAATGAAGGAAGCGTCTTCAGAATACGATAGATAAATGTCTTCAAATGCTTGCCTTGTCAACCACCATCAACTTTACCTGTTCAGTATCTACAGCTAGTGAGAGGTAAAACACACTTATGGCTAAGAACAAACCTTGTTTGTCCCTTGCTTAACAACGGGATCAGGATGTTCAGAAATCTGACAATGAACACGGCTTACTGTAACTGGAAAGCTCTGCGGGAGCACTCAAACTGATGGATTAATATAAAGGAAGCAAAATTGGGCAGTTTATTCTTAACTCCCGAATGTAAAGTTGTGGAGACAGTGTATCTCTACTGAGTTGAGTGCTTCTTTCACTGAATTCTTTAAACATTGTGTGACTGTATTGTTATTTAATGAGAAAAAACACATCATATTTATACATTCTTAGTACCATTAAAGTTTGGCTATTTCAGAAGTAAAAAAAATTGTTCTGATTGGTCGACAACCGGCCAAAGGCTAAACAGTTCATCCAGTTAGTTCATTTCATGCCCATAACGTAAAGGCTGCAACCGCTGTTTAAAAATATTTTGGTCGTTTCCCATCAGTCTGCTTGACGCCACATTATCGCTTTCACTAATGTCAATGAACTTTCATTGATGTTCATTTTTACTCAGTGATTGTCTAGTAATCTTGATATCTTTGTGTAGAGATAGTCGTTAGAGCAAATTGCTCTCTCCTCTTGTAGTGAATTAGTACAAAGTCCATGTATTAAAAAGGCATTTAAAGTTACCCACCGTATTCAGATGCCTTTCCCACCTCGACCGTAATTGTCTTAAAATATATTTAACTGTACCACATAATTTGTTCATCTGATATTTAATTTATTATCAGATATTTTTATGAAAAGTATCACTCACCTTCAATACACATGCTTCTTTGGATCTGTAATGCAATTTTTCTTCTTAACAAGATGATGCTATTTAAGAAAAAAAGGTATTAATGTCGTCCATTAGATTCGGAGTGGAACATAAGGCTTCACCGGTGTCACATCTCCATTTTATCCTGTTTCCATCAGTCTTCTCTAGCTGGCTACACGATTGCCTATAGGCTCTCATTTTCACACAATCTCTTCTAATATTACCATCGAAAAGTCGTATAATTCGTCATTTCCCATTCAAGTTCCATTCGAGTGATGGCTTGATGAGCAATGTCACTCAAATGTTCTCTTCAGAATGTTTCCAATTCATCCATTTCCATTTTCTTTGGAATACAGGATTTTCATCATGAGCTGACATTAGTTAGAGAACCATTGGAAGACCTGGGAGTACTGGACAGCTCTTTCGTCCTAGTTTGGGACTCTTCAGCAGTACGCACCCCATCGGGAATATTTTGGACTTCAATTTCTTGGTTAGTTAGCTGCCTTAGTTCCTTGTTGTTAGTCCTTTTTCGCCGTTTGACCTTCAACATAGAATGAAGGCGGCTGTTCATAAAAGTCTGCAGCAGTCTGTTCAGAATGCTTTCCGTGACCCTAGCACCAAGTTTCGCAAGCATATAGAACAAATGACTTGACATTGGAGTTGAAATCCCAATCTTGCTCCTTATGTTGATTGCAGAAGGTTTCTACAGTAATTTTAGAGTGATTAAGCTCTGTGTTGCTTCTCCAATTCTGACTGGCTTTGACATTCTCATCCTTGCCACTACCCGTTGTTGAAACGATGCTGCCTAGAAGTTACCTGACTTACATTTCTTCAGTTGGGGGTGACTGGTGTGTGTTGTTATTGTTGATTGTATATCTTCCTCATATCCCTGTTCTCTGTGCTCACTTGAAGTCCTTTCTTCTCTTTATTTATCTTCTACAAGTCATAAATCATCCAATAAATCCATACCTTGTAGAGTATTCTTATTGGTCTGATATATTCCTGTCTTCTGGCTCCCCACGTGTGGTGTTTCCAATTATCCACTACACCACAATTAGGATTATCATCAGTGGTAGTAATCAGCAGACTTGTTTTAAACTCCTGTCTTCACTTCAAAGACAGGTTTCTCTGAATTTTCCTTTGTGGATCACCTGATATGTGCTGTTATCATACAGAGAGCTGTTGAGGGAGGCTGATAAATATTTTAGCACTATACTCCTCCATAGTGTTGAAGTAGTTTCCAAACTGCCTCGCGGTTAACACTGTCAAAGACCTTTTCAAATTAGTCGACGAAATAGATGTAGAGTGAGGTTTGACTGGCATTCTATGAGCTATCTTTTCGATGATGATTATACTCAGAATTGATATTTGATTTGCACATGGTCTGCTTTTCCTGAATCCAACCAGCTTCTTTTGGACTGACACAGTTCTGCATCCAATGCATCTTTTATTCTCTCCAGGTTGATTCTACTTATTAATTTCATTTGACGTGAACAACGAAAGTAAACCAGGAGTAAAGCCAGTAGATGACTTAACAGAAGATTGTTGAGAGAGAAAGCACTGCAGTATTATACATAATCTCAAGCTTCTGTCGATAATCGGCTGAGAAAAGCTGGAAGTAAATCCTTGATTTTTTGAATAATGTGTGTTTACACAAGATTTGGTTTCATTACAATAGAAAAACACTTATAGATCAAAACTGCTTTCTGTTAAACTTCGTCTTTTTTATATTAGGATATATATATATATAATGCATTTTTTATCTAGAAAAGCTGACTGCATCTGTTTTAAACACTTTTAGCGTCTCAACTTACAAAGTAAAAGTAACTCAGAAACAGATGAGTATGAAAAGATCAATAATGATGGATCCTGTTTAATGAAAAAACAAAAACAGCGCATGTCTGCAAGTCAGCTGGAGGCGAGAAAAGCTGAATTAGAATTATGGCGTCAACAGAGAGAGGAGATGAAACGACAAGAAGAGGAGATTAAAAGACAAGCCGAAATTGAAGCAAAACGTGCCCAAATGAAAATGATAAAAAAGAAACAGGTAAGTTACCTACCCTTCAGCTCTTCTATGAATTGGATAAGATGGTTTCATCACAGTTATTATTTCTTGTTAGTTTCTCATCAGCTCTGCATAGAATAATTAGTTCAGTTTATGTAGGGAACAATTTTAACATACTTGCAAATGTGATGACATGATGTTATTTAATCACAAGACAGACTTCAGACTTAATAAACAGTGATCAGAATTTACACGTGATTTTCCCCATAGGCTGAAAGTTTACGTTTTTATTAAAACAGAAGCAATCCTTTCAAAATGGACATTTGAACTTCAGTATTGACTGACTCAAGGAAGTCAGCTGTTGATGAAAGTTTGCAGTAAGTTGTCTGTTGGAGATCCGTTCAGTGACTAACGGACGGATGTTAGGTCTGTAGAGTCTTCTTGTCTGCCCAACCTATCCCTGTTTTCTCGTTCCCCAAGCATGGTCTTTCTTTAGGTCTGTTTTCAGGGTTTATAGAGGAATTCCATCTTGTCCTGATACATTCCTAATGACCTCCGGTAACTTTATGGCATTCATGACTTGTGCTGTCATCGAAGGATAGGTGTTCACTGGGAGTTCTGTGTCTGCTGTTGGCAGTGGTATTTCTGAGAGACAGAACTAAGAACAGACCTTTTTTCACTTGCTTAACCAGCACTATAAGCAGGATGAGGATATTCAGAAATTCAATTATGAACTCGCCTTATTGTGGCACTCCGATGTAACTGACTGGACTTACATGAGCAGCCAAATTGTGGTAGATAAACATGGAGAAAAGGAAGGTGAAATTACGGTAAGGAGATGACAACTGATGAGCATTTGAAGTCAAGTAACACAGATAGGCTGGTACTCCAGTAGTAATACCCTCCCCCCTCAATCATGTCCATTTATAACTCAAACTTTGTAAAACAAAAACTGAAATATCTTACATTTTTATGCATTTATTGATTAATGTATTATAAGGCAGAATTACGCAATAAAATAACGGCGTATAAAGAGGAGAAAATGGCTGAAAAGTTGGAAAATCTACGCTGTTTAGCAATACAGGCTGAAAGTGAACGACTAATTCGTCAACGTCAAGTAACTAGCGCTACAGATCGTATTCAACAAAGAGTAAGCATACAAAACCGCCTCCTTTTTATTTATTTATTTTTCATGAGTCTCTTTTTTCGTGACGATTTAATGTGCTTAGACCACGGATTGATATCAGTTAAGAAAACTTTGAAAACCAGTCACAGGGCGTACTGCCAGATAGCTGTTTCGTCAGCCTATTTCGTAGCTCGTCGGAGGTAAATAACCAACATCTGGGTTCCAACAACCCAGCACTCTCCGATTACAAGTTAAGCTCGTAGACCATTAACCCCTATTGAGACCCTCCAGACTCAGCGGCCAGCCCGTCAATTCTCGCCTCTAGCGATTCGTGGTGTACAGCGCATCCGTCACGAGGCAACGTCACCCGTGATGTGAACTTTTTCTCACTCCTGACAATTAAGTGGACTCCACTTGTCACAACTTCCCACTAGAAGTCTAGTTGAGTCCAACACGTGGCCAGCCAGTCACTAGCGAGCATCCCTTTAATTTTGAATAGTGTTATTTTGTAGAAGGCGATTTGATTTGTTTCAAGTTTGACCCCAATTTGACATCAATTAGAGAACCATCAAAAACCAAGGGGTACTGGAGTGATTTTACTATTCACCTATTCATTAATGGGATTAAGTTTTCCCAAAATAATGTTTATTTGCTTCTAAAGCCATGATTTGCTGTGGAGCTGGAGGGAGTTGGTTGATTTCAAGTTTGATGATGAACTGACTTCACTTACAGAATTGAAGCCAGCGTATGACATTGCCTGACGGTCCTGATGTATGTCACGAATAGTAGTCAGAAGTTGGGGCTGAATTCAGTCGCAGTGGCTGAGCAGTCAAATGGCTTGCTTTGTAACTTGAAGCTCCTGCTTGGTTCTGCCGCTAGTGGTTGCGCTTATCGGTGTGTAATGCTGAAGAGTCAGTATCGAATTATGAAGTCGAGACAGCTGTCCAACATACCAATGCCAGTTTTCACTGGCGCTCTCTAACCGGAACCAGTTGATGATAAAAAACTTGGAAATTTAGTTACACTACTGCGCTTCATTACTCTGAAATCAATTAAGAAGTTTGCTTCACTCCACCTCAGAATAACCAACGAAATTCGAATTCTGTTCAACACGAGTATTGAATCAGTTACTTCTTCTATTTGGGTCAGAAACTTCAGCGTGTCACGAAAAGCGTTTCAAACAGACTACGACAGACTTTCATCAACAGCTGTTTTCCGTGTTTTCACAATGGAGATCAGTTAAACTGCCAGAAAGTATTAGCAACAAGCAACCCTGTGAACGAACTAACCAATAACCAGTTGGTCAGCAATAAGAAACTCCAGCACTGAACCAACCAATGAACATTCAGAAGGAAATGGAGATGGATCGATTGGACATACTGTTGTGTTGATCAATGTTCAGTCTGGAGACTAAACAATCAGAATTTAGCCCACGTTATTTATCGGTATCCAGTCCATAAATCAACCGATCAGAGTCAGGCCTACGTAAAAATAATGACCATTATTTTTTGATCATGATTGCAGACAAATTGACATATCCTTGGAGACATTTTGAATCATACATTATCACTGTGTAAATTATACTTTTCGGTCGACTTCTGTGTGTGTTCTCGTTTAAGTAGTGTGAACTGGAGGAACAGGTAGCTGTCGTTTAATGAATGTTGTTGGCTTCATCAAGCGATAGTCGTTATCAGCGTGTCTAAGGTTTCTATTCTTTTCAGTCTCTTCCAGCGGGCTTCATTACTGATTTCACACCATCATCTCTTTAAGTTAACCTTGGTCACACTCCTAACTCGTTGCTTCCTCGCTCAGTTTTCACTCAACTGCCTAGATTCAAAATTTAAATATGGCACACAAACCAACAAAATCAATCAATATCTCAATTCTATACAAACTAAATTGCTTAACAACAAAAGTAGATAAGATCAACACAACTTCAACAAAGAACAAATTGCATAAGTTATAAAAGAAACTGTATTGGCAAAAGTGGCTACGCCCTTCAAATTTGCATCTTAGGAAGTAAATATGATACTATATTCCTTCACATCATTACTGCATCACCACATGTAGGAAACAACTGTGTTCCACCAGGAAACAGAACATCTGAGTAGTTGAGAGACAGAGATGATACAGTATTTAATTCCCGTCATTCAGGAAGCCTCTCCTCCTGAAAAACAGTACACAGTTATCCACTCAGTCGACAGGTATATCATAAAGGGAATCTCGAACCGACGTTTCATCAGTAGAATGCTCACCAAACAAGTACATGAGTCGGATTCCGCTCCGCGTCTGAGGCATACGTATACCTTGGCTGCTCATTCACTAAAAGATGGTTCGGAAAAGACAGGCAGTTTTGGTATGAGGCCATGTCGTCAAAACAACAACAACACCTATACTGAAACTTTAAAGCTCAAGTTTAAAACACTATTTGCAAAACTCCTGGTACTCAGATCAATCTTCATTCAACAGAAATCCTGACATCGACTGAATCATATGACTGAAAGGTCAAATACACCAAACAAACGAAAAGATCGATACCAATATAAATTGATGCATGGATTATGAATCTCCTGAAGACATCCACTCACACAGACATGGCCATCAGAAGAGACAGTTGGATTAAGCATAAAGCTTTACAAAGAAGCACTCACTTTACATGCATACTTAGCAACCGCCTTCCTCGATGGGAAATAGGATTATGTTGGAAAAACGCTAGTGATAGTCAAAGCGAAACACGGAATCAGTCAATGAAATCCACAACACTTATTCTAAGCTATGTATGGAGATGAAAACTTAATGGTTAGTTTCCTTGATATAGTGGGAACCAATTGGTCATGGAGAAAGTTGGTGATATGGCTCGAAGTTCTTGTTCTGACTGTCTGGCACAGATGTATTCACTCTGTAATTTTTCATATCTGAAGTTCAGAGGAGAGTCTCTTTTCGGTAAACTCATTTTCTTAGCTGTACAATCGCAAATATGCATGCGTTTTTTTGTATGTATGTGTAAATTAAGCTTGTCAAACAAAATTACAATTGGTTATGGTTATTTTAACTAAACAGGTGAGAATTAGTAAGTTTTGGCTGGAGTCATGTAGTACAAAAACGGTCAAAAAATTGGGTGTCAATGAAACTAGGGTGGTAATAAAGGTGATGAGATGTCACAAACAGTTGTTAAAAATGAGTTACGTAATAACACGGATAGTTTGATGATTGAGTTGTACTCAGGATGCACATAGAAAAGAAGTAGAGAATACGAAATTACGTAAGAGTTCTAAATGATTACAAGAATTATAAACAGTTAAAGAAATAAGCAAACAAACAAAATTAAGTCATCAAAAATCAACGAAGTTGTTACCATGATAGTAGAAGTGGTTGAGCAATTCTCTTTTGTATGCACAACTTCTGTCTTTCTATGTGAATGGCCAGGGCTTCAGTAATGCAAGTAAGACGAAACGTAACCGTAGGTTATTCTTGACTTTGTAGATAACTTTGAAGGAGTGGTTTGTTGAGATGGAATGAACAGTGTTGACCAGGTGTTCAATTATCGCACTCCTTTTGCACTACTGTTGGTTTTTCGCAACCATGATGGATAGTTTTCTTGAAATTCATGTCAAATGATTTCATAAGGCATCCTCACCACACTTCTATGCGATATGGTTCTTTGGAGCCCTTTTTAGTTGGCTCTACGACTTCCCATAAGCATTCATTTCCTCCTCCATGTCATCTTCGAACCCAAAACCAGCTCGTTGTGTCCCATTTGGTTTGTGCTCTATAGTTTAATGTGAAGTATGATGTGAATCAATGTTTTCATCATCTGAGTTCTTCTAATAAATCTCCATATCCCTTAGTTCTTTGCCAGAATTCACTGTATTTGTTAGTCCTTTCTGGCTAGCGATGTGTTTTTCTCTATCTAGACAGAGAAGGCAACAGTTTTTTTTTATTACAGCTTGATGCCACACCGTATTTTCAGTACAAGTATGGAATTTTCAGCATGGATATCGGTAGCCCAAATTTTGCAGGCCGACCATAGATATCGGGTGTGCGTCGGCAGAGGATTGAACTCCGGACCATGTGCATGGTCGGCGAGAGTCCTAACCACTGTGCCACCGACGCACAGTTGATATAGTTGTCTTGAGTAGCCTGTTGGAAATGCTTTTCATGGAACGCCCACCATGCCCTTGAAGTATATAGAAGTAATGACTGAGTTATTCAGCATTAGTTTCGCAAATACTAGTCTTGTTCTTTATACTTAGTAGCTCAGTGGATTGTCACACCGACTTCGAATTAACAAATTTCAGACTTACTTTCATGATACTTCCTGACTTTGATTTCTTCACCTGCCCCGCCGCTTAGAAAGTGGAAGTGGTGTTAATAGGGAATTGGTTCTGGTAGACGACATTTTTTGTTGGTCATCCCGTATCTTCATCACGTCTTTGTCTCCACTATATTGTTCACTTGAGGTTTCACCTCTATGTCTTGAGGATTTTGTTCAGCATTAGACTAAAATCACCTACGCGAAATCCAGATCACCAAGAGTCTCTTCTTAGATCAGGTATTTTCCTGTTTTCTCTCTCCTCACAGTCCTTCGTATGACCTAGGCTGGCGAAATCAGGAATATCCCTTCAGTAGCTGTATTCTCTGAGTTTAACTGATTTACAACTCCCAGAGTTTTCGTTATCCTACTAGGCAACATCCGCAGTGAAAGCTATATTCAGTAAACCGATACCCTATGATTCCCAGAACAAATTGTGTAAAGACTTTGTTTAAAAGAGTTCAAACATACTATACCTATCCAGTCCTGAAGGTAAAAGAAGAAAAGAAATATCTACTAAATGTATCGTAAATAAAAGTGAACAGCAATACTATTTCAACAAAACGTGTCTAAACTCAAATCCAAACACCAACAAGAAACCATCCTCAATGCCCACGAAAAAATTCATTTTGCCATATTTATAAATAATACCTTTGAAATAATATAGCCTATAATATTAACACCGTTGGAAATAGTAATAGCACACAAACCA